GAGGAAGCTGGAGTAACCGACGCAGGTACAGGGAGAACATGCAGACTCTGCATGTCAGGGTCGGTCCAGGCTTGAACCCAGAACCTTCATGCTGTGAGGTGACACCCTCATGTTAAATGTGAAGCTACAACCAGCAGCCGGTTAGCTTTATAAACACAATGACTGGGAACATGAGGAAACAGCTAACCTGGCTCTACCCAAAAGAAAGAAGATCCACCTATTACCACCCCTAAAGCTCACTAATTAAACACTTTATATTTCATTTATTTGATCCAAACTGAATCCAAAATATAAAAATGCAAGCCTTGCCTCTGCCAACCAGTCAGGCTCCAATTTACTTGCATGTCTGTCCAGACTAATAAAATATGTAGTAAAGAGTTTGGGTGAATGTAATTAACAAGTACTAAATGTAATTTGCAGGAATCCCCCCAGGGCGTTCCTGGGATATCATGGGCACAAGAATGGGACGAACATGAGGTCACAGTGACTTTGACCTCTGACCAACAAAATGGTCCAAATTTTGTCAAGGCGTTTTTCTCAAGGTGTTCATGAGATATTGTGTTCACAAGAACAGGACAGATGGACAACCTGAAAACATAACGCCTCCGGCCAGGGCTGTCACCAGCACCAGGGAATTAAAATTCTCCTTTTAACATGGAGTTGTGATGGACTATTTCCTGAATGTGAACAGTTGTCTCAGACTCCAGGAAAATACTGCTCTCAGCCAAGAAATAGTCTGGCACATCACCCTCATTAAACAGTCAATTATCATTTTTGCATTAGATTTTTCTGCAGATTAAACAAACAAGATATAACATGTTTAATTAGTGAGCTTTAGAAGAGGTGGCAGGCAGGTTGCACTACCTTCAGACAGTCAGGATAGCACTTTTCACCATTTAAAACTCTTTGCAAGAAAGCAAACAGGCATATTTCCCAAAATGTTGAATAATTCATTTAATCAACTTGCAGCCTCGGCTGAAGCCCCTCTACATGTACAGTTTGCTCACCCTGCCACTGAATTTAAAAAGGATCACTTTAAAGATGAGCCATCTTACGGTAACAGCAACACAAGCAGCTTCATCAAAAACCTCTCATCTTCCATTTCAAAATCATCATGCACCATTTTCCACAAAGAATCTATAATCATTGCTTTGCGGTTGTATGCCTCCACCAACCAGCCAAATTCACAGGAATGGGACAGACATGAGGTTACTGCTCTTGACCTTTCACAACCAAAATCTAATCCGTTTATCCTTGAGTCCAAGTAGACGTCTGTGCCAAGTTTGAAGAAATTCCCTCAAGGTGTTCCTGAGATACTGTAGTCAGGAGAATGGGCTGTCTGGACGGACAACACGAAAACATAAAAGTGCACAAATAGGTTCATGGTGCACTGAGGGACTCTCACCATCACTTTCTTCTCTTGGCCTCCATCATCCACCCACTCATGGATAACAGGAACATCAAGAATAACTCCTCACTGATTAATCACCTTGAGCTTGTTAAGGGGTGGTCCTCACTTTCCAGGGTTTCCTCCCAATATTTGTGTGTGCAGAAAGCAAACTGTACGGCTGCATTAATGCAGTGATCACCTGACACCTAGTCCGACTGAACCTATGAATAAAAACATAGATGTCCAACTCTTCTGAGGTCATGTGAAATAATTCATATCTGCTGCTGCTTTCTCTTCATTAACGCACTGAGGTCACATACTCTGTCTATGAAACCGTACTGTGCCGTGGCACTGGCTGATGGGCACACACCTGTCTCCACAGGGGTTCCTGCACACCCGTCTTCCTCCAAACATCCCTGCCTGCCTCCGCCTCACCTGTTATTTAAATATGCATAAAGAAAATATCATTTGAACTGTGTGATAAGAGCAGCAAATAACATGTTATAGTCGTTCAATTCAGAATGAACAGACCAACTGTAAACCAGGCACATGTAGGCATTTCATTTATTTCATGTAATGCAATGATAAATAACATTTGAAGAGCAGTCCAGCCTGATCATATGCACCGTACAGTGCTCTAATTTACTTCACACAATAACATTTGATACCTATGAATGGATCTGTGCTGGCTCCTTGTCCATCCCTTCCCTTTCTTTTCCAGTGCCACTTTCACCCGTGTTTCCATTATATAATCACTATTTACTTTCTGCAAACACAAATGTTGGGAGGAAAACCTTGGAAAATGATCCGTCATCCGTCATTTTACATATCAGAGTAACACAAACTGTACAGGAATCAAACTGGGGCCGCTTGACAGTGAAACTCCTGGGCTGCCTTGTGTTGCCAGTCTGCCCCTGACCGGCTTATACAACAACTCAGTTACACCTCATCTTGACAGCTCTGACAGGATTCAGCTTCCACTTGTGTGTACATTTGTGTGAAGGGTCTAAACAGCTGCCAAGTGAGCAACGGCAGGCTGCAGGCAGCCCCCACCGCCTGTGGGGGGCTTGGT